ATCAGTGGAACATTGAGTTAGCACAGAAAGGTACATTACTGGCCAGGTGTCGTGGCTAAAGCCTGTAATCCCAGCACTTTGGGAGGCTGACGTGGGAGGAGGGCTTGAACCCAGAACTTCGAGACCAGTCTGGGCAACACACAGGGAGACCGCCGCCCCAACCTCTACAAACATTTTTTTTTAAATCAGCCAGGTGTAATGGCACATGCCTGTAGTCCCAGCTATTTAGGAAGCTGAGGTGGGAGGATCGCTTGAGCTGGTGAGGTCAAGGCTGCAGCGAGCTGTGATTGCACCACTGTGCTCCAGCCTCGGTAACAGAGCGAAACCTTGTCTCAAAAAACAAATAAATAAATAAAAAGAAAAATACATTATAAAATAGGTTACTAGCCAGCAGTTTCCAATTGGTGTCTTTTAGTCGATTGTTCCAACCACCTTCAGCAACAGGGCTTTAAGAAAGATTCTTCGCGGCCGGGTGCGGTGGCTCACGCCTGTAATCCCAGCACTTTGGGAGGCCGAGGTGGGCGGATCACGAGGTCAAGAGATCGAGACCATCCTGGCTAACATGGTGAAACCCTGTCTCTACTTAGCGGGGCATGGTGGCGTGTGCCTATAGTCGCAGCTATTCAGGAGGCTGAGGCAGAATAATCACTTGAACCCGGGAGGCGGAGGTTGCAGTGAACCAAGATGGTGCCACTGCACTCCAGCCTGGTGACAGAGCGAGACTCTGTCCCAAAAAAGGAAAAAAAAAAAAAAAGAAATAATGATAGTATAATTATAGATTTATCTCAGTTATGTAAGTAACTGAATGTAAATATTCAGACTCGTCTCAGTGGGATTCTACATGTGTCGCGGTTAAGAACACAGGCTCTTCACCTACAGTCCATTCTCTACCAAGCACCCCCAGCCCTTACCCAGGGCCTGGGTCAGTGCTGGGCACATGACAGCTGTTCACTGAATATTGATTATACCCGAATGAGTGAATGAGCTCTGGAATCAGGTTGCTTGGGTTGAAATCCCACCTCTAATACCCACTAGTTGTTTAATTTTGGAAAATTTCTTTTGCTGGCTAAGATTCCATTTCTTCACTAGTAAAGTTCAGGTGACAGTAGTTATTGGGGGAATTCAGTGAGGCACACTCCTGGCTTGGAGTGTCTGCTCGGGAACTGTTATCAATACTCTTTTAGTATCTTCCCATTCCTCAAGACAAAGATCTGCAATCTCTTAACCTCTCTAATTTGCTTGAAGAAAGCATGGAGCAGGCTACTGTTTCGTTTGCTTGTTTGTTTCAGATTGGGTCTGGCTAGGTTGCCCAAACTGGACTTGAACCCTGGGCTCAAGCAATCCTCCTGCCTCAGAAGACTACTGCTTTAAGTGTTTCCATTAAATAGGAAATTGAAAGGCTAGCAGGAGATTTTTTAACTTTTTTTTTTTCCACCTTGCTTGTTTTTTGAGAACCAGTTTGACTAAACAATTATGTAGTCTAGTTCCATCTGTTCTGAGATTAATGAATTTAGGTTGCTTACTACTGCCACAGGGATGATTTACTTCAAAGAAAAGCAATTTAATGAATTGCAAATATTTCCAGCTTCTCAAATGTTTCCAGTTTCTACCCACATGAATACAGCCTGATCTAGAGCCCAATTCTACTGTTCCCCGTCGTGGTCTGCATAAAGAAATGATTAAATGCATATAGATCTGAAAAGGCTCCTTTTCAAAGTTGCTGGGATGATGACTGACTCTCTTCCCACCCGTACCCACTGCTAAATGGGTCAATGTTAATACTTTCATTGCCCTTTTTACTCCTTCTTGGCAGAAAAGTTAACCCATAGCCAACATTCGAATTCTTAGTATAAACCAGACAAGGTTTCAGTTCTTTTTTTTTTTTTTTTTTTTTTTTTGAGACAGAGTCTCGCTCTGTCACCCAGGCTGGAGTGCAGTGGCACGATCTCGGCTCACTGCAAGCTCCACCTCCCGAGTTCACGCCATTCTCCTGCCTCAGCCTCCTGAGTAGCTGGGACTGCAGGCGTCCCCCACCATGCCCAGCTAATTTTTTTTGTATTTTTAGTAGAGATGGGGTTTCACCATGTTAGCCAGGATGGTCTCGATCTCCTGACCTCATGATCCACCCGCCTCAGCCTCCCAAAGTGCTGGGATTCCAGGCATGTAACCTCCCGTAAGGGGTGAGCCAGTTACTACACCCATTTTTTTGTTGTTTTTGTTTGGTTTAATTTTTGGCTTTTGTTTTTGTTTTTGAGACGGAGTCTCCCTCTGTTGCCCAGGCTGGAGTGCAGTGGCGTGACCTTGACTCACAGGAACCTCCACCTCCTGGGTTCAAGCGATTCTCCTGCCGCAACCACCCAAGTAGCTGCAATGTCAGGTGTGCGCCACCACACCCAGCTGATTTTTGTATTTTTAGTAGAGACAGGGTTTCACCATGTTGGCCAGGCTGCTCTTGAACTCCTGACCTCCAGTGATCTGCCCACCTCAGCCTCCCAAAGTACTGGGGTTACAAGCATGAGCCACCACCCCTGGCCTTACACCCATTTTTATGTGATGAATTCAAGGTTTGGGAAGGTAAAATGACTTGTTCAAGGTCACATATCCTGAACACAACTGAGCCCAGTGACTCCTACCTACCACCACAGGTGGCTGCACTGCAGAAGAGAAATCTGTTTCAGTTACACTGTGAGGAACAAAGTGAGAGTATGGAAATCACCCACCATGATTCCTTTTCCCTCAAATGAAAAGGAATATTTGTTTAATGGGAAATAGAAGATGTGCTAAGAATGTTGAGTTATTTCACATCAGGTGTTCTGTTTCTCATTTTGAAAAATGATTTTCAGTGCTGGGTGTGGTGGCTCATGCCTGTAATCCCAGTACTTTGGGAGGCCAAGGTGGGCGGATCACCTGAGGTCAGGAGTTTGAGACCAGCCTTGCCAACATTGTGAAACCCCTTCTCTTCTAAAAAGACATAAATTAGCTGGGCATGGTGGCAGGCAACTGTAATCCCAGCTCCTTGGGAGGCTGAGGCGGGAGAATCACTTGGACCAGGGAGGCGGAGGTTGCAGTGAACCAAGCACTCCAATTTGGGCGACAGAGTGAGACTCTATCTTAAAAAAAAAAAAAAAAAAATTATTTTGTACTTCCCTCAGTTTATACATATATTCAAACAGCTTTTAAGGTGAATGATTTTTTTAATAAAAGAGCATTTTCTCACATTTAATAATGTAGAACTTTTCAGTTGGGCACAGTGACTCACCTCTGTAGTCCCAGCACATTGGGAGGCCAAAGTGGGAAGATCACTGGAGCCCAGGATTTCCAGACCAGCCTAGGCAACTTGGTGAAACCCTGTCCTTTAAAAAAAATACAAAAATTAGGCATAGTGGGCTGCATCTGTAGTCCCAGCTAGTCAGGAGGCTGCGGTGGGAGGATCGTTTGAGCCTAGGAGTTCAAGGCAGCAGTGAGCCGAGATTGTGCCACTGTGTTCCAGCTTGGGTGGCAGAAGACGACCCTGTCTCCAAAAAAAGAAAAAAAGTAGAACATTTCCATGTATACTTTATACAGGCTGATTCCATTGTAGAGCTAAATTATCAAAACTGTTTATAGATAATAGATACTATAATATGAAAGGAATGCCCAAGGTTTATAGCCTTGGATATAATATTGAAATATATAGAGTTGTTTGGTATTTAACACTTCCCTTCTATCAAGTAGTTTTCCACTTGGGAAAAAAAAAAGAAACTTCCTGAAGAGGTATCCAATTTTATATCTTAGTAACAGTTTCCTAAACTTGCTGTTTACAACGTGATCTACCTATGTAAAGTAAAATCAATGGTAAATGTTGAATAACAAGTGGACTCTTGAAAATATTTAGCAATCACAACTGAAACTGAATTCATTCTATGACTTAAATGATTATAATTTATCAAATATTTATATCCAAGAAATAGTATCTTAACCTGTAAGCCAAGAACGTGTGTTTTACAGGTTAATTTACACATAATATACACCATGGGATTGCAGCATTTTATGCAAATTAAAAATATAATACTATAGATAATAACTCACTTTATATGAGAAATCTATCTAAAGGAGTGAAAAAATGTTTAAATCATCACGAATGATGTAAGGTCAAGATGTGAGGCAAAGTGAGTTGTAACCCATATTTAAGCTATTGTTACACACTTCAGCTGGTCAAGCAGAAATATTTGTCCTCCTTTATCAAAAAGAGTACCGAGGCCAGGCGCAGTGGCTCACGCCTGTAATCCCAACACTTTGGGAGGCCAAGGCGGGCGGATCCCAAGGTCAGGAGTTCGAGACTATCCTGGCTAACACAGTGAAACCCTGTCTCTACTAAAAAAAAAAAAAAAAAAAAAAAAATCCAAAAAATACAAAAAATTAGCCGGGTGTGGTGGCATGTGCCTGTAGTCCCAGCTACTCGGGAGGCTGAGGCAGGAGAATCACTTGAACCTGGGAGGTGGAGGTTGCAGTGAGCCCAGATCGCACCACTGCACTCCAGGCCGGGCGACAGATTGAGACTGTCTCAAAAAAAAAAGGGGTATTGGATTACACAAGGTCTTCAAAAACATATCTTTCTTGGGCGGACATGGTGGCTCATGCCTGTAATCCTAGCACTTCGGGAAGTTGAGGCAGGCTGATCACTTGAGGTTCGAGTTCAAGACCAGCCTGGGCAACATGGTGAAACTCCGTCTCTACTAAAAATACAAAAATTAGCCAGGTGTGGTGGCACAGGCCTGTAATCCCAGCTACTCAGGAGGCTGAGGCACTAGAATTGCTTGAACCCAGGAGGCAGAGGTTGTAGTGAGCTGAGATCGCGCCACTGCATTCCATCCTGGGCAACAAAGTGAGATTCTGCTCAAAAGAAAAGAAAAGATAAAAAACAACCCCATATCTTTCTTGTGTAATGTGACCATTCTGCGTTACTTGCCATAAATCACATTGCATAATATGTTTAATTCCCTAAAAAGAAATTAGTTCTGGTGCTGACTTCCACAGCACATATAGTAAAATTGGAATGATACAGAGATTAGCATGACCCCTGCACGAGGATGACACAAATTAGTGAAGCGTTCCATATTAAAATAAAGTAAAAAGAAGAAATAAAACACTTAAAAAAAAGAAATTAGCTCTAAGTCATGCATATTTACAGAAAGAAACTGTTAGGTCCGTGGGAAAGTCTGACCTGTAACCTGCTGTTTCCCAGGCCGTCAAACTCCGTTTGGAGGGTCAAGCATGAATCTTGCCATATATTATTTTCTGTTTTCTTTTTTAAAGATTTTCTTTTCTGTTTTTGAGTCGGAGTTTTGCTATTGTTAACCAGGCTGGAGTGCAATGGCATGGTCTCGGCTCACCACAACCTCCACCTCCCGGGTTCAAGCGATTCTCCTGCCTCAGCCTCCAGAGTAGCTGAGATTACAGGCATGTGTCACGACGCCCGGCTTATTATTATTATTATTATTATTATTTGTATTTTTAGTGGAGACAGGGTTTCTCCATGTTGGTCAGGCTGGTCTTGAACTCCCAACCTCAGGTGATTCGCCTGCCCCAGCCTCCCAAAGTGCTGGGATTACAGGCGAGAGCCACTGCGACAGGCCTAAGAGTTTCTTAATTAATTAATTAATTAATTTTTTTTTTTTTTGAGATGGAGTCTCACTCTGTCACCCTCAGGCTGGAGTGCATTGGCGCGATCTCGGCTCACTGCAAGCTCCGCCTCCTGGGTTGACGCCATTCTCAGTAGAGACGGGGTTTCACCATGTTAGCCAGGATGGTCTCTATCTCCTGACCTCGTGATCCGCCCGCCTGGGCCTCCCAAAGTGCTGGGATTACAGGCGTGAGGCACCGCGCCCGGCCTTATTTTCCAATTTATAAATGAGGCCAGGCACGGTGGCTCGTGTGTAATCCCAGCACTTTGGGAGGCCGAGGTGGGCAGATCACTTTAAGTCAGGAGTTCGAGACCAGCCTGGCCAACATGGTGAAACCTCGTCTCTACTAAAAACATTAAAAAAATTAGCCAGACGCGGTGGTGGGCGCCTGTAATCCCAGCTACTCGGGAGGCTAAAGCAGAAGAATTGCTTGAACCCAGGACGGGAAGGTTGCAGTGAGCCGAGATCCTGCCACTACACTCCTGCCTGGGGGACAGAGTGAGACTTTATCAAAAAATTTTACAAATGAAACTATGCACTATTAGGCTTTTTGTTGAAGCTCCAGTTCTCCCATGTTTACTTACCACATTTTAAAAATAGGTAGGAAAAATAATTTTTATCAGTGCTTGTCTTTTGTTGTTGTTGTTGTTGTTGTTGTTGTTGTTGTTGAGACGGAGTCTCGCTCTGTCACGCAGGCTGGAGTGCAATGGCGCGATCTCAGCTCACTGCCAACCTCTGCCTCCCGGGTTTACGCCATTCTCCTGCCTCAGCCTCTCGACTAGCTGGGACTACAGGCGCCCACCACCAAGCCCGGCTAATTTTTATTGTATTTTTAGTAGAGACGGGGTGTCACCATGTTAGCCAGAATGGACTTGATCTCCTGACCTCGTGATCCGCCCATCTCGGCCTCCCAAAGTGCTGGGATTACAGGCGTGAGCCACCGTGCCCGGCAATCAGTGCTTGTCTTAACCAGTACAGAACAGCAAATCGTCTTTTAAACTAAATTTACAGCACTTTAAAAAGTTTGGGAAGTAAGAATAACCTCAAGCCAATCAGATATTTTACATAATTGCGATTATGTATTAAAATGTAAGAGATATAAAGGATAATTTCAATACCAAAGATAAAAATTATTTGTTTAATACTAATTTTAATGACTCCAACAATATTAGCTTTAAAAAGCTATGCTTAAATAGTAATAATGAGGGCCGGGCGTGGTGGCTCAAGTCTGTAATCCCAGCACTTTGGGAGGCCGAGACGGGCGGATCACGAGGTCAGGAGATCGAGACCATCCTGGCAAACACGGTGAAACCCCGTCTCTATTAAATACAAAAAAACTAGCCGGGCGAGGTGGCGGGCGCCTGTAGTCCCAGCTACTTGGGAGGCTGAGGCCGGAGAATGGCGTGAACCTGGGAGGCGGAGCTTGCAGTGAGCTGAGATCCGGCCACTGCACTCCAGCCTGGGTGACAGAGCGAGACTCCGTCTCAAAAAAAAAAAAAAAAAAAGTAATAATGAGCTTTGAATCATTCTCTCAAACATCACTTCTGGCAGAAACGAATTATATAGTACTGACTTTCATAGTTTAAGGGAAAATAAGAGTTTTAGAAAAATACTCATCTTTTCTAATTAAAAAAAAAAAATCCCATGTTGTGATTCCCCCACTGCTAGTCTCATTTTTTTGTTTGTTTGTTTGTTTGTTTGTTTGAGAGGGAGTCTTGCCCTGTCGCGAGGCCGTTGGAGTGCAGTGACACCATCTTGGTTCACTGCAATCTCTGCCTCCCAGATTCAAGCAGTTCTCCTGCCTCAGCCTCCCAAGTAGCTGGGACTGCAGGCACACACCACCATGACCAGCTAATTTTTTTTTGTATTTTTAGTAGAGACAGGGTTTCACCATGTTGGTCAGGATGGTCTCGATCTCTTGACCTCATGATCCGCCCACCCCGGCCTCCCAAAGTGCTGGGATTACAGGTGTGAGCCACTGTGCCCGGCCACTAATCACATTTTAAAAGGCCCAAACCCAAATGTGTTTTGTCATTTTATACTAGGAAACTCAAATGATTTTGCTTCTTTATTCTTCAAGATTATTCATCCAGACACTGATAGGCCTGAGCACGGGTTCATGCAAACTAGAGGCTATCATAGGCGGTCATTTGGAAAGCTACTATATACTTAACAAATGTGAAATGTTAGGCTGGGCTCAGTGGCTCATGCCTATAATCCCAACACTTTGGGAGGTCGAGGCAGGTGGATCACCTGAGGTCAGGAGTTTGAGACCAGTCTGGCCAATATGGCAAAACCCCGTCGCTACTAAAAATACAAAAATTGGCCGGGCATGGTGGTGCGTGCCTGAAATCCCAGCTGCTTGGGAGGCTGAGGCAGGAGAATTGCTTGAACCCGGGAGGTGGAGGCTGCAGTGATCTGCCTGGGTAAAAGAGCGAGACTCATCTTAAAAAAAAAAAAAAAAGGTGAAATATAAAACTCTTCTGTATTTTTTATACCTCCAAGCCCAAGCAGGAATCCTTAGAGCAAATTGGACTTCCACAGGCAAATTCTTTATCCTAGTGAATCTGGATCTACCAGATAACTATAGAATCCTCTAAACTCCAAAGCCTTGTCAACCTACCAGTCCCACCAACATCAGTGGGAGCTCATTAAAAATGCAGAATCTCAGGTCCCACCCCACACCTAATGAATCCAAATCTGCCCTTTATACTGAGATCCCCAGGTAATTTGAATGCATATTAAAGTTTGAAAAGAACTGATCTCATGAAATCTTACAGCTAACGCAGAGACCTAGGAGAACAACACTGTGCAAAAATTGAAAAGAACTTCTGTAAAATGCTGGGGGCAAGAAAAGAAAGAAAAAAAAAGAGTGCCTTTCATATATCATTTCCTTAATACATTTCATTTTTCTTTTTTATGCCTTGTTTTGAAAAGCCACCATTATCTTGGCATGCTTTAGATGGAAACCATTTACTGTGCAAGATTTCTGTTCATGTTCTTAAATGTATGCAAAAATAACTTGTCTAACCCCTACTACTGTGCCTGGCCCTTTGAAATGTGTTTCTTGCTGACGTGCTTGTTTCTCCTTTCCAGTCCTGACACAGCCCTCCCCGAGGAGCAGCCACATTCCAGCTCCCAGTGCGCCCCTCTCCACTGTCTCTCCAAGCCTCCTCACCCCTAGTCTTCATCTCCTGTGGACGAACATCTGGGGTGGAAGTTTTGTAGCCACACACAGGATACTGCCCAAGATCCAGCGGGTGTTTTCTTCTCAGTTGTTAGATGTACAATTGGATTAATGTCCGTCATTTTGGAAGACGAGAGAAAATTGAGAAGAACACGAAGCACAGACCCTGATGTGATAAAACATTTGTGGTTTCTCTGAGTCACAGATAAACTTCTGCCATCAAATGGCTACAGTTCATTTAAGTTTAAAAAAAAGAAAAGAGAAACAGGAAACATGTCTCAGATGGCTGGCTTTACCTCGATAGCATAAGAGAGACCTAAGACATGTAAAATACATATATTGTAATATCTTTCCTCACACTCCAAATTCAGCTAGGGAAGTTGATTCCAATATTTTTGTCATTGATATTTATTTTGTACTTTGTTTGCCACATGATTTATGTCTACAAAAATAATTTCTCTGAAGTGAATTTACTTCATTTATTTTCAAATAAGCATAATTTGCTCAATTAAGTATGAGTTTGAATTTAGTTTGAAATCTGGAATTGGCCAGACTGTGGTCATTTTTCTTGCACAAAATGATAAATGAGGTGCATCAGAATGTTAACAATAACTGTATTTTGCTGCTACGCTGGTATTGTTTATGCACTTATTTTCTAATCAGTAGCTTATTAACTGCTGGGTTTTGTTTTTGTATTTTTAACTAGAGTTCTTCACTGGACATTACTAAGTAAATCTAAGAAAGAGACTAAGTTATGATTTATTGACTTATTCAAGTTTTGATGGCATCTTTAATTTTATTTTTTCATCGCAGTTGAGTAGATGTACTGGTGCTGCTCCTTTGTATGTGTGTATGTGTGTGATAACGTTAAAGAAGGCTCAATAACTTGAAGGGGAAAAAATGGTGTGTTTATTTAACGACCAGGATTTTTTTTACTTCTCCCAAAATCAGGGTCCTACTGAGTCTTTCCTGATAAAAGGTATCAAGTACAAATAGGAAAATATATACATACATAGATGTAAGATAGCCTTTAATTAATTAATTTACCCAGAGAGTGTTCAAAGTTTGATTAAAATTGTATGTTTTGTTGTTGTTAGGTTTTTTCATAACGAATCTTCCTTGCCAAAAAACAATAGATAATAAACCTTAGCTCATTGTCTACTTTTGACAAACACTCAGGTGCCTACAAACATTCTATTATCTTGAGATAATACATGTTCCTGGTTAATTTACAGATTCTGCTGGGTAACTT